ATTATATGCTGGTATGTTGGCAAGTAGACTGTTATGTTGGTTGCAATTTTTTTTGCTTGGTGCCTACATGCTCTTCTCAAGTGGTTCTCCTACTATATTGATTTCTCTCTTAATTTCTTGTTCCATTTCAAGTTGTGCTTTTGATTTTTTTGTTGTTATGTTATATTTTGGCTTTTTTCAATTTGCATCTGCACTCTTTTGCTTATGTTTCTTTATTTCTTCTGTGATTTTTTGTTAAACTTCTAAGCTAGTTTTTTGTATTTTTTTCTTGTGTTGTCTGCCTTTTTTTATATCTATTTCTACTAATGACCTTTGTTTAATTTCTTGAGTTAATTCTATTTTTGTTGATTAAAGTTGTTCTTTTGATATATCATTTGTTTGTTTTAAAGCAGGTTCTATTATTATTGTATAGTTACTTTGTTCTACTATGCTTAGCTTTTTTCCTGGTTATTATTTTTCTGCTTTTTTTATTAGCTCTCTTGTTAATCTTAATAGTGCAATCTTGTTTTAATTCTGTTCTGTTAGCATGATAATGATTCTGTCCTCTCTATTGGGTATAACATATAACTTACTTGCTTGTTTCAGAAATATCTTATTATATACACTGTTAATAGCCCAGTATGCTCTTTAATATATGTTGTCATTAGACTGTTACTACATCCTTTTAATGTATTCATATTTTGCCTTAAGTTGCATATGTGTATGTTTTGTTTGGTTTGCATATGATCTGTTTGTTGTTTGTTTACATTCTTATGATTACAACAGATTTGCAATACAGAGTTAATACCAATTTCCCAAAATTTTGGTTTTCATGTATTTTTTTCAAAAAAAATTGTTGTTTTTCTTGTTTTTTTATTGGTCAGTTTATTTTTTGCTGTTTTTTTTTTCTATACCTTTTCTGAATACTCTTCTATTTTACTTAAACCTATCAAAGTGATTCAAATAACTATTTTTGTATAAATCTAGTTTTTGCTTCTTGCTAAATTTGGTTTAAGTGATTAGCAAAAAGAATATAGAAGACCATGTTAATAACAGTTAAACCCAACATACAGAGCAGACCATGATATCTTACATAGCTGTAAGAACTAAACATATAGTAATTAACTCTATAGAAGAAAATTTTAAAAGATCATTTATAATAATTTTAATCCTTTATAATCTTCATACAAGCTTTAACAAATTCCTACTTTATTACAATTTACTATTTCTTACTTATAGTCAAAACATTCAAACTTTAATTTAACATATTAACAAATAAAATAACAACAAAACTGTATCTAGTATCATATTTTTTATTAATTTATTTTATAATAAAACCCATATATATCTTTCTAATAATACTCTTTTGCCAGATTATATTATTATTGTTCTACATCTTTTTCTATTATTCTATAACCTCTCTCTTAGATCCAACTCTTTTAGCTCTACTTTTATTTTATATAACTCTTTTTCCAATGACTATTACTCAACTCCTATTGACTATAACTCTCCTTTACATTCTTTTGACTTAAGTTCTTATTATCCTAATCTAACTATTGTTATACACAATGTTAGAGACTTTAATGATCTAACAAAAAAAGAAGTCTGACAAAATTACTGTCTTAATAATAACATATCTATTATTAATATTACTAAAACAAAAATTTTTAATAAAACTAAACTTTTTTCTATAACAATAACCTTTTTACCTACTACTGGTCTAGCTTTTTCACTTTTGTAAAAAAGATAATTCATAATCATATTAAAGCTTATATTTATAGCATTGATATTTATTCAAAAGAAACTATTACACTTGATATTTTCTTCCAAAACAATGTCAAACTTTGTATTATTTTAGTATACCTCTCATTTACTAATATAACTATTTATAACTAAACCCAAAACACAGTAATCAACTAGATTTAACAAATCTCTTAATTCCACTTCCATTCTATTATCCTAAATGATTTTAATATATAGGATTATACTTACAGTTCTTCTTCTAAATATAAACTTATTAATTTTTTTAATCATTTTAATATGTATAATATTAAAACTTATTTTAACAACAAACACTTTATTTGATCTAACAATACTAGTAGTAATCACATCAACTACATCTAAACTGACCAAATTAATATATAATTTCTTCTTTTCTATAGTTTTGATAACAGTCAAACATCTACTTCAAGTAATTATTCAATTCTTATTTCTACTTAAATATTCTTACATGCCTATAGTAAACCTTTATAGAAACATACTAAAATTAGTCATCATATATTCAATTATAAAATAATAATTATAGAAAACTAAAACTCCTTTGTTGATACTTTAACTTAACAACTTTCATTACATAAAACTTCTATTAACAGTACTACTAATAAAAGTATTGAAACTATACTATACTGAACTATCTGGATTGGAATCTAGAAAGTCTGTTGGTTCTGAGTTGTGATTAGTAAGGGATGATGAAGAAGATGTTAGAAAGATAGGTACTAGAATTTGGATGAACTTTACAAGGATAGAAATAGTATAATATAGTGATTTAAGGTTAACTCTGACTACAAATGTTAGGTAACTATAGCATGTTATATAAAACTAGGTTAATTGTATGTGAGACACAGAAGGCTCTAGTAATGATGCTTCTGAGAATACACTGCATGAAATAAGGTATGAGATTCTAAAAATATGAGTAAGTATCTAGATCTTCTCAATTAACTTATGTAGCAGAGATGATCTAGTGATACAGTAAGGATTGCAGTACAGAGGATTTAAATAGGCAACACCTCTAGTTGGGTTGCAGGTATGACAGCTAGTGTAGAACTATTAGCAGACTACTTAATTAGACATCAAAAGTGTATGTGTGACTAGTTGTACTCTCTAATGTAAAGAGACTCCTTTGAGGTCTTGGCTGTGAGTTCCTATATTCTAACTACTTAATAAAAAACCCTAACTCCAAAAGAAGCTAGTTTAACAAAAAAATGAAAAATAAAAGTATTGAAACTACTTGGCACAAAATATAATGCTCTATAATCTACACTGCTACTCATACAATCCCTAACAAAACCTCTCAGTTAGTTGTATACTTTTTTCATGATTGTCTTCTATAATTGTAATGTAACTATTAACTAAATATACTATCAATAAAATACTGGGTTGCAAGTACCATCTTAATATTTTTAAAAAAAAATTAACTAATAAAAATTATAATAAATATTAGATAATTTTCACCTGACATTATCTAATGTCCAAGTATTGATTAATCAATCTATTTTAAGTTAATAAATTATAGCAAACATTAGACAATGCCTGCTAAATATTATTTAATATTCAAAATATTTTTAATTGATCAATAATTGTATTTTTAAAAAATAGTCAGATATTTGTTGATATTTATCTGTTTGCCGTTCATCTTTCTCAATCAAGCCTATTGAATAATTGATTATAAGGGCAATTATTTGAATAGCATAGCTACAAAGCCAAATTTTTGCAGTTGTAATAAGATATGTAATAGATATAAGTATATCTGCTGATATTTGATGTCAAAAATTGCTGTTTAAAATAAAGCAATCGAAATTGGGTTTTTTTTGAACTAACTTACAAGTAGGGATTGGAATTATTTAATCGTATAAAAATTGCACCATAGGCCGGAATTATTTAATGCCGACCAAATTAAATGGTTAAACAGCTAAACGATTAAGAAACATTTTAGGCGGTTTCAATCCCTACTTACAAGATTTATAATTTGGGATCTTTGCTAACAAAATCACTCTTTGAGAATTTCCAGTCCAATCGGAAAATCTCGTCTCGAAGGGTGATTTTGTTAAACATAAGAATATTAATTTACATTCTTTCACAAAGATGTGTATATAGTATAACATTCTAAATCTTTTTTTTTTTAAATTGGTTCAAATGAATGTCATATTTCCAAACAAATGTTATATAGATACCCTTTTTTTAGACCTTCAAATGACGGCGGACATCAGTGTAATTTACGTTCTTCGAAAATGCCTTTTTTTAGACCTTCAAATGATGGCAAACATTAGAGTAATTTATGTTCTTCCAGCTCACAGCCGATAATAAAAAAAAAGACAAATTTAATGAATCATTTAGATATAGTTACAGTTAAAGGCAATATAATTTTGTATTTAAAATAATCAGCTTTCCAGTTTCTTAAAATTTTTACATTATTGCGAAACTTATAGTAAAGTTAAAAATTGCAATTATTCACAATTAAATTGAATTACAATTGTGTAAAAATTGTATTGCAATTAATTTTCCAGTACCCTGGTATCAGGTACGTACACAGGTATGTATATACACAACATCTAGTCAATGAGATTATCATGGACCTTGACATGTCCGCCGGACATTGTCCAATGTCCAAACATTTGATTAGTTGATCTACGGACAATGTCCAGATGACTGCCGCATCTTTGGACATGGACATCTGGTCCGGTCTGGTCAGGTCAATGTTCATGTCCATATGACAACACTGCTTATGGATATTCACTTTCTTACATTGAAAAAATAATTCTTATCACTCAACGACAATTGATTTAGATGTAAAGGATAGGACTAATTTATTTTATCAGTGAGCAAAGAAATACAAATAAAATACAGATAATATAAATACAGAAATATATGAAATAATAATTTTCCGTTTGACTTATTTGTAAACGGGAATTTTTTTTTAAAAAAACACGATTGGATATAGATAATAAATTTAATTTCCCGAACATTTGCCATCCTGGTGTTTTTTCGTTTTCATGTGTCTTTCCACATGACATTTATTATCCGTTTTGTAATTGCATGGACAAGAGTATTTTTGGCCTTTTCTTTTGTTATTAACGGATAAACCATCAATTTGGTGCAAAGATGTTGATGAAACAGTTTGTTCGTTAATGAAAGTTGATCCGTCTGTTGTGATAAAATATTTAATATCATAGTCTTATTATAATATCGTTTATTAACATGAGAAGTTCATTATAAAAAAAAATCACTATAATTAAGGTCCTTACTTAAATTATGACCACCTTGTCCGAAATTTGAACCTTCATGGTCATTATTAAAGCCTCCGAATCCGGAGTCGCGATCGAAGTAGGGTTCTTCATTGAAGTAGGATCCATCGTGTTCGTGGTTAGGACCATCCTGATCGACGTCAGGATTTGTATGATCAATGTTAGAACTTGGTTGTGTGGAGATGATCGCTTGGCGTAAGTAGTCTAATTTTAACGGAGATAAAAATAAGTCGTGAACTTAATTTTTAAATTATCGCTGTTTCCGATTCGATTAATTATGAACTTTTTTTGGTGAGTCCTGTAAGTCTCATGAGTCCAATGATTACATAATATAGCGGTGTCCTGAAGATTGAAGCCTATGAATATTTAAATGATCTTCAAATTTCACATAAATTTGCAAAACATAACGATAACTAATTTAGGTGATCACTTATGGACTCACAAAAAATCATATTAGTCAACTTCAACTAAAATCAAAAACAACAATAACTCTTCTTTTTAAAGAAAAGAAAAAGAACTCACTTTCAAGAAACAATTGAGCGATAGCAAGTGCGAAATGAAGAAAGATAGGAAGAGGGAGGTGGAGGGCACGGGAAATGTTGGATAAGAGAGACGATAGGAACTCAATAGTAGTTTGGTGTTGTTCTTGCTGCGAGGAATTATCTAATTCCATAAAAAATTAAATTCTTTTGAGCAAAGATAATATAAATAAACAGGGATAAGGATAATTTGTTAAAATTCTACCTTGATAATTATTCATGATTTTATTTTTTGAACAGTTTGTTTTTCGAAAAAAATGTTACTAATCGTTTTGCAATTATTCTTGGCTATTTATAAAAAATTGAATCAAGGAAGGAACCTTAAAAATTTACAAATATATTATATAGAACTATAAGAATATATACTATTTGTTTAAATAAAAGATTATTAATAAAGTTTTTGAGATATTAATTTGGCCAGAGTTTGGGATTTGGGCGTGGACAAACCAAACTATAGAGTTTGCAATAATATATATATTTCTGTTATTTATTTATATTTTATTTTATATATTTTATTTTATTTTATTGTTTTTTTTTTAATATTATTACAAAAAAGATAAGTATCATGTCCCGTATTCAAACTTTATCTCTGCTTTCGATTTTATAAAAAGAATTGCTATACTGAGAAGCAATTTCAAACAAATTACAGATTTAGTAACTATGTTGTATAATGATATGTTTCAACGCGCCTAATCGAACGGATATGCAAAGTTAGAGTTGCATACCATCTTATCAATGTCTTCTGATATTCAACTATCAGTAAAATTATATTTTATTGTAAATTCGTAAATATTTTTTTAGTTACCGCTTTATTGAATTTCCAAAAACTAGAGAAAACTTATAATTTGTTATAATGATTGCTACGTTAAATGATTTTCTATATTACCTTCTAATTACAAATTTTGACCCTCTGCGCGCAAAATCTTTGATTTCAAAACTAAATCTTTTAATTATTAGAATCAAAAAATACAGTTATAATAAATTACAAAAAGAGTGTAAACAAACCGTTAGAGAAACACAAACTATCTACGGACTAGAATATATTCCATATAATCAATTCTATAACATTAAATTTCATGCTAAAGGAGGGTCTAGTAGAATATATAAAGCTACATGGCAAAAAAATGAAATTCAAGTAGTCCTTAAAGATATTGAAGGTCCTAGAAATAGTAAACGGTTTTTTTTAAATGAGGTGGGTAACATATATGCATTTCTTTTTTTTTTCGACATGTATATATTAAATATGCAAACGCAGAACAAAAAACATTTTTTTTTTTTTTGTTTAGTTAATGGTCTACGATCATTGCGGACAAAGATTTTCAGATTCATGTTTCCAAGAGATTTACGGTATAACGCAACATTCAGAGACCAAAAAAGATTTTGTTGTCATGAAGTTTGCGAAACATGGAGATTTGCACAACTATCTTTTAGAAAATAACAATACTTTAACTTGGAAAAAAAGATTGAACATATTATGTCGTATAGTATGGAATCTTAGTGAACTTCATAAGAAAAATATTATTCATTGTGATCTTCATAGTGGAAACATACTTATTAATAGTGATAATCTTGGTATTAATGTTAAAATCAGTGATTTTGGAGTAAGCAAGCGAGCAAATGTATCATCCGAACATAACGAAGTTTACGGCATCATTTCATATATTGCTCCTGAGGTGCTAAAATATGGACGTTACACTAAAAAATCCGATATATACAGTTTAGGTATACTAATATGGGAAGTTATGTGTGGTTATAAACCATTTTATGATAGAGAACATGATGTAATCCTTATTTTAGATATTATGGATGGCCTTCGTCCTAATTTCATAGATGGTACCCCAAAAGAAATTTTTGAACTAATGAAGAGGTGCTGGGACGATGATCATTTAAAACGTCCATCAGCACTTGACGTTATGAATGAACTGAACACTATTATTAGAAAGTTAGATGAAAACCAAATATCTTTTCCTAAAAATTTTTCATATATAAAAATGACTAATCCACGAGTTACACATTCGAGTCATTTATCGAGTTCTTTCATAAATAGGTTTTTAAAAGCTTCTGATACGTGTTTGCTACAAAAAAACGCATTAAATCAATAAATAATAGTCATATTTGCTGTTATTTTTTTTTCATTTTTTAATTACAAAACACAATGTCAAATTTAAAAAGAGATAATCATTTGATTTTCGGACTGATCAGGTGACTATTGGGTAATCTCGAGATGTGCTTGGTCTTAAGCAGCCTCGTGTAATTTTTCGTTTACTTATCTTCATTTTTTTATTATGCAAATCGCCTTTCATTTATAATTGAAAAATGCAGTCACATCAAATTTACAAGAATCTAATTAAAACTCATTTTTTAAAAAATTTGCAAAATGAAATCGGATTTGTAGAAATTTAGGGTTAGGACATTAGCATTGGAGGTTATAGGAATAAATTGTCACTCATCATATGTAAAATTTCATTTTTAATTAGCAAGCCAATATCGATTTAAACATAAGTTTTGGAGTATTTTCTCTTTTTCTTCTTTTACACGTGTTTGGAATAGTCAAAATTTGCATTCTGGAGGGCATTTACGTTCAAAAATTCAAAAACATAATTTTAATTTGTTACAAAGCTCGTTGGCGTATCCCCTGCATGTACTGTATATAAATGCAACACTTACCTTAACACGAATTTACAATGTGTGATCTGCATGTATTCACAATATTAAACCACTTATACATTTCTTTATTAAGATATCCATTATTTCGTCAGATATGCATTTAACTTTTTTTTATGTTTCGATGTTCGCTACTACGAGATTCACAGTTTCATGTACAGTACATATGCAATGTCTTGTGGTCAGTAGTTACACACGAAAAATATCATTCTTGATGGATCTTCGGTACTGTTCTTGATAGATAGGTAAAAAAATCGATTTACATATCGTTCTTGATAGGATTCTAAAAAATGGCTTCTAAAATAATATACTACTATATCGAAAGTCTTTAGGATAGGGTTTGTTTTTAGAACCCTATCAGGAACAGTACTCAAATAATTTTTTTTTAACTTCATTAAGATAGTACTGCCGGCTCATCAAGAATGAAACATCTAGTGAAAACCTAATTTGTATTTATAACCATGCAGCATTCGCCTATTGATCGACATCGCCCAATTCTGTCAAACTATAATGTTGGTGTGCATTTTGGCATTTCACTAACGTAAAAAAAAAACAATTATGCAATTAATACCAGTGTGCAATCAATATTTGTCTAACAAAAAAAAATAAATAAAAAAATTCCTTGCAACATTAACTTTCTCGTGATTGGTCAATTTTATTTAATTGAATTTATACAGTTTAGAGTACTTTTACCCCCTAACAATAAATATTTTTTTAAAAAAAATGTAATCCTTATTTATAATACTACAAAAGACTCTTCACAAATGAAGCTTTAAGTATCTTATGTATCTCCGAGAATTACTTTATCTAAATATACTTAAAGATAATTGTTAGGCTAGAAAAATGATAAAGTATAATAAATATAAGTGTTTGGCTTCTAATTAACTTACAAAAGATGAGTTAATTAGTTAAAAAAAAGTTTGAAAGTAATAATAACTTAGTAATAAATATATATTAAAACAGATTACAAACACTTGAAACTTTACTTAGATATAAAGAAATCATTTGGTAAGTAGTTTTATATTTCAGGATTTTGAAATTAGTAAGTTCAAAGTTGAGTTTTTAGTATTATTTAAGAACACAATAAAAAGACTAAATGTTTATTGTTTCATTTTATTTTTTTAAGTAATGAATAGTTTTCATTTTATTCATTCATAGTCTACATTTAAGATAACTTTATTATGTGTTACAGGATTTTGACTTTATCATTTGGAATTTGATTAAGAAACTTGATTTATTATAATTTTACATAGCTATAGATTATATAATAACTTTCTTGTTTAAATTAAATGTATTAAACGTATTATATGTATTATATCATACATATGTGCAAGATTTTTAGTAACATATATAATAAAAATATTATATCGCTTATGACAAATGATGTGATATGATCGATCAATTACGAATCATTTGCAATTTATAATCATGATTGGTAGGGAGTTGTCGACTGAATTTTAATTTGAATAAGCATTATCACTAAAGATGCAGACATTTAGAGGGTCAAAGGTAGTTATTTTTATACGTCACCCTTTACGTCATATAAAATTTATATATAATTTAATACGTCATATTAAATA